TAAATTTAATTCAGCTAAATTAATTTTTTTTATAGAATCATGATAAAATTAAATTTGGCCTTTCTTTACTAATTTTTTACATTTAGTAGTCAGTTAGAGTTGATGAGTGATAAAATGGTTGGTCAATTTTTCAACAAGGATGAAGATGATGAACGAGTGAATTTAGGAACTAAGAGGGCCGGTGATGCTGGGAGCCTCTGGAAATCAGGGGTGCAATTCTAACACTAAAAAGAGCAGACGAGGAATGGAACGAGGTTAGCTGCAAGTTTCCCAAGGTCAGAACTAAGTTGTCCTCGGAACTGAAGGCAGCATGAGACACCACTCACGGGGGCGGAGATCAGGTGGTTGAGATTCCTAACTGAAACAACACCACACAACAAACAAAATTATTTATTTGGTCAGGATGGTAACGAGCTCAGATCACATAACTTTCAGCAAAAATCAAGGGTAGGCTGTAATGACTAATTACGAACATATGCATTCTCACCAGCAGGCCATTTGAAACCTACCAACTTATACTGGGAGAGACATTGCTAAAAAATGAACATTAACCGATCAAACAGCAAAGCTCCATTTACAGATATAAGGAACAAAAATTGTTATCGATGAGATGCTATTTTACCTCATTGTCTATTTCCTATTTATTTTTTAATAAATGGAATAAAACAGAGATGTGTCTCTCTAATCTGAAAAGTTGATATCAAAAAATAAAGAAGATGTTAACAATTTTTATAAGGATATTTGTTCTTTTGTGGGGTGTGTCTGTGTTGGGGTGGTGATCGGCTGGGAGGAAAAGAATTATAAAAGATTAAACACTTACAAGTTGGAGTTGCAAGTTTCAAAGTTCGAAAGCAGATGTCTTATAGAGATTCATTATCCACAGAAGCTAATGGTTAATCGCACACAACTAGAATTCTTGGAGCTTTCCTTGATATTTAATTCACACAACCAGTTATTTTGTTAAGAAAGAAAAGAAAAGGAAATATCCACATTTGTTTGTTCACTCCAACTTATCCGAGCTAGGTGAGAGTAAAGTGGTTAATGAAATAGCAGAAACTAAAATAGTAAGAACCTTGACAAAGATGGACTGGAAGGAGATTGAGTGGGTTTCTGTTGGAGACGATTTTAATGACACTCTGCCATCCTTGGAGATGGCATCATCTCTGGCAGGCTTGATATCAGTCTTAAAAATGATGAGTTTAGAGTTGTACTTGAGGAGGCAGAAGCTTGCTCGACGGAGACCAACTCTGTCACGCAGATTTCACGAAAGATTGGAGAGGGCATCGTCGGGCAAGTTGCAGGGAGACGAAGACCGACATTTCACGGAAGATCGGAGAGGGCGTGGTCGGGGAAGCCGCAGAGGCGACGAAGACTAACTCTTTTAGATAGATTTGGTGAAAGATCAAATAGGCTGTTGTCCGGGAAGTTGCAGAAGTGATGGGGACCTCGACGGGAAGCCACACGGGTCCGAAAACATTCTCAATCAAGACGTTTGTTTTTGATAAGCTTAAATTTTAAATCTTAAATTTTTTAAAATTTTGAAGTCCCGCCTCATCAACTAACCATGGTTAACCAGCGTGCAGTCATTTAAACAAAATGAAAATGGGGAAAGAAAAAGGGACCACGTGGCCTACTTCTATTAGTGCAAAATTAAAGGCCAAAAAAATAAACCAATATAGGACACGTGTCTTACAATGAGGGCACCAGGGCATTGCCCTCAAACCCAACATAAAAGAAACCGATTATGAAAGCCGGACAAAACAAAAGAGAACACTCTGGTATCTAAAGGGCACCGGTACCCTCCTCCTTTTGTGAGAGGGGACTCGACAGTAGGACTCCTTTACAATGCAGGGCTCGAAAGTGGAGCCCACCCTTGCGAGAGGGGTGGGCACCGGTATGTAGAATTCTCCAAAAACAAATTGATAAAAGCAAAGGACAAAGGTACCAAAGGATACGTGGATGAAAGTTACGTGCATAACTAGTTGAATTATTATAGGTAATTTCTACGGTGCGCCACCCCTCTCACAAGGGGTGGGCCCCACTGCCGGGGCCCCTTGCATTGTGAGGGGGCCCCACTGCTGAGTCCTCATTCCCCCCTCACAGAAGGGAGAGTGTAAAACCCGATTTTTTTTTGTATAAAAGATTGAGGGTGCAATTGAAATATTAGGAATAGTGGGGGTCTAATTGAAATAAATGGAAATTTCAGGGATTTGAATATAAATATCAAAATTTGGCAGGGGCCAGATCGTAGGAGAAGAAGCATGAAGGGACTTCATCACAAATTTTTAGGAAATAAATTTGAAAACGGTCGAAACGGATCATTCATGAGGAGAATTAAGCAATTAAAAAAAACGGGATTTAATAGAAAAGGATTTATAAAGGGAGTCGACCAAGTCTGTAGATCAAAAGCCTTGACAAAGATTTTAGTAATTTTCTAAAAAAAATTGTGTTTATGTTATTCTGTTCATCCGAAAGCTGTCCGACTTTGCTGGGGGCTCCAAACTTGATTTTCTCCTATTTAATTGATTGTTAGCTAATTAGCCATTTTGGTGGACTTCGCCTGGGCATTCCGAACAAGCCAATAGATTCAAATTGCAAGGAATTGTTTGAAGTGTGAGGTAAATTTTTTAAATTAGCTTACTTTGCATGTATACGGGTTTTTCATAGATTTCGGGTCTGGACAATTGAGATGGGTTTGGTATGTTGTGGGCTATGGAATTGGTTTGGGAATTAAATATTAGTTTCAAATTAAAGTAAAGTTAAGCTCCAGGTTTATGAATTTAAAATTTTGAATTAATATTAGTTTTGGAATTTGGTGTGAATTTTTTTATTGGACCAAATAGATCTAAACTTGGGTTTCTAGATTGGGATTTAGTCCTTGGATTTGGATTTTCTAAACCAAACAGGTTCCATTAGTGGTTTCAAAAATAAATAAATAAATAAATAAATAAATTAAACTCTTAATGTCTCTTGGGTTCTAGTTTGTAAATGGTTATCGTTTTTGTGATTTTAGATTTCTCAGGAGATCTCTTGTAACCGTCGTGAATTCTGTAATACTGTAGAATGAACTGTTGATTCCAACTTGTATAATGAGTTTTATGCCGGTTCAATGTTAAAGAAATTAAAGAAAAAATAATTAGACAATCGGTTCAACTTTATTAAGGCCGGTTCAATGGTTTTATCACCGGTTCAACGAGTTTTATGGCTGGTTCAATGAGTTTAAGGTTTGGGTCAGTGATAGTTCGATCGGTTCATGGTTGGTTCAACCTTTTAATAACTGGTTCAAATTCAGTTTAGTACTTTAATGATTGGTTTGATGGATAATTAGAAAAGTTAATTATTTTATGAGCCCGGTTTAAGGAATTAATAATTAGGATGTGAATTTTGTGATCGGTTCGGAATCTTAAAAATTTTCGATATGGGTTGAACACGAAAAATCGAAGATTATAACTGGGTATTGGAGGGGAATTTAATTCTAAATTAATTATGAGTTATATGAGATCCTAAAAGAAGGATTTTGTCATTTTTAGATTTATTGTTCGATTCTCGTGGAGATATATTCCTGAAGCTCGGGGTTCGCGACTCTTCGATTTCTGCGAGTAGTAATACGTATTTATATGCTCTGTTAATTTTTGTATTTGTTAAATGATGAGTTTTTGCATAAATTGTTTATAAATTCAGTTATTTCGAAATTGAAATTTAAAATGTTATAAAAGCTTACAAGGGACGTATATGGTATTTTCTGATTTGTTTGGAAAATTCCTGAACTACTGATTTCTGCTATGTTTGAAACATTGAAATTCTGTAAACTGAGTCCTGTTCTGTTACGGTGAACCGCGAGGTTGCTGTCCTGTTTCTGTCTGACATGATAAGCCTGTTTGAGATCAGTGGGGTTGGTGGTAGGTAGGGACGGTGGTTTTATTCCCGCCTGTGAGTCCCGCCCGTGATTCTCGCCTGTTATATGTGTATATGTGTATCTGGGCACCAAAGATGCCATCTCCTGATTTCTGTTAACAACTAAATAAGTGTAATTCTGTTTCAAACATTATAAGCTTATAGCCTTATGTTTTGTGATCAAAACATTTGATACATGTATGTCCCTTGTCATGTAAATACGCATTACTATTCACTGGGTCGTCAGACTCACTCCTTAATTTTTCCAGACTCAGGTCCTGTACTTCCGACTGATTCTGCTATGTGAGAAGAGTTGTTGATCCAGATCTGTGGTTCCAGCGGATAGTTTTCCTTCCTATTGTGTTAATTTGTTTTAGTTAGCATAGGCAGAAATTGAGTTTAAGGATTTTTCAAACGTTGATGATTGTATTTGATTTTCGGAAGTTTGTATCAGACTGTGGGCATTGTATCAAGCTAAGTTATTTTGTTCTGTTATATTTCTGAGTATTTGAGACTTGCGGGGTTGGGACTATCCTAACCCTAGCGCCGATCACGGACTCGACTACCGGCTCGTGACGAAAATGGTATCAAAGCCACTCCGCGTGCAACCTTGAACGGTGGTGGGGCAAACCTCAGCAAGGACGCTGAGTCCCAAAGGGGGGTGTATGTGACACCCCAGAGGAGGGCGAGTTCTCGCTGAGTCCCAAAGAGGGGGGTGTATGTGTGACACCCCAAAGGGGGGTTGTGTGTGTGTGACACCCTTAGGCAAATCCCACATTGACAAAACACGGGAGAGATGCTGGGTATATAAGAGACTAAAGACTACTACTAAAAAACTTGGGCTTAAGCATTTTGGGCCAATGGTTCAGACTCAACAAGTTGCTAGGGTCAGTAGTCTCGAGTCGTTACAGAGAGATTGTACCGGTGCCCTCCCTCTCTTTGGGGAGGGCACCGGAGTGTTCACCTTTATTATAAAGTAATTTTGAATACATGAATCCAATTCACCTCATTAATCAGTACAATTTCTCGTCTTTTTCTTTTTTTCTTTTTTGGAAAACAATCGGAATCAATTCTTAATAATTGAAACTATCTAAAATAAATGGAAATTATTTATTTATAACTCTACACTTCTTTCTAATTTGGCCAGCATTTCCGACTAGAACTTCAATGTTACCCCTCTTCACCATCGCCTTTGCCAAATTCTGCTGGAAACCTAGAGCATTGGACGCGAGGGTGGACACGATATCAGCACTTGATTTATCCAGTGCAAGTTCTTGATCAATTTGAAGGACTCTTTTCTTAACTCGGATCTGTTTGTAGAACTCATTATCCATAACAAAAGACGTATTTTGATCCAAAAATGCAGTCGGGTCGCTGTTCAATGGCCTGAACTGGGTTCCACAAGTTTTGAACAGCTTGGATACGAGAGCAGAGTCCATGGTGGGATCGGGCTTCCCTGTTCCTTGGAAGTTGGAAAGACAGTCTTGAAAGAAGCCACAGTGGGCAACTCCAACACTGTGTGCACCAAGAAATGTCACCATGGCATTCATATTAAGCCCTTTGTTTCTGAAGAATTGGAAGGCTTGTGACACAGTAAGTGATGGCTCTGGAAGGCTGACAAGGCCGCAGTCTGAGACCGTCCCATCACGTCTGGTGGTTGGGACATTGTACTTGGCTCCTACGGCAAGAGCTATCGCATCTCTTGTTGCCAATGTGATAACATCGGCACAAGAGACGGTGGCAGGACAAATAACTTCCAGGTTTTTCTTGATCCCATCGATGAACTCGTTACCACGGACAGTTAGGCTTGGCCCTGCATCTTTCTCTGTGATTTTCTTGGAGTTGAGTCTAGGAGTATGGATGCGTCACAACCCTTAGATAGAGAGACCAACCAATACGCCAAACGAAATTAATACATAAGGTAAGTTGTGATATACAGCAGCTTGCATGGTTACTCAAACACCTTGCAGGCCTTGCAATGTTTCCGGAATATAACAAGTCAACGAATACGAAAGCTTTCCCGAACGAAGCAATCATGGAAGTGCATGCGAAGCAAAGCCGCTGAGCGATCACCATTGAATCGCTTCTGCACAATCTCTCGAATAATCTTCTCTGCTCGAGGACAGGTTGAGTTATAAAAACCAACTCGAAGTTGCGCCATTGCAAGTGGAAAAATGAAGAAAAAGAACAAGAATGTCCTCATTATCCCTCCCCCTCCCTCCCCCCCCCCCCTCTCTCTCTCTCTCTCTCTTTCTCTCACTGTCACACACCCTATGTATGTATGTGTGTATGTGTTTTCGGAAAATATGGGGAATGAATGTGAGGGAGATGAATGTTCGATGCAGGAGCAAGGTTGAAAGGTTGTATACATAGTGGGGGAGAGGGAGAGTTAGGTAGAGAGAAGCTTACAACTTGCAGCGCAAAGCTGAGCATGCTGTGAATCGAACGGAGTTTTCGAAGAACTTCTAGGATGCTGTGAAGTGATTATAGGATATTATGTTTGAAAAAAAAAATATACTTACAATGTTGCACATCTTCATGATTGCCTTGGCAAACTTCTGTTGGATCCTTGTTCGAATTACATCAAATCACCACTCAGCATTTAGTCACAAATCCATTAGCTCACACAAAAAGTTTAGTCTAAATCAACTAGTCATCTCATGTCAAGAAAAAGAAAAAAAATGTGGATTTTGAATTAAATAAGAATGTCAAGGAGTTGCCTTGCTATTAAAAAGATATACCAAAATGGAACATGCTGGTCAACTTGAACATTTTAAGTAAACAATATATCTATATAAAATAGATAAAATGATGGAAGAAGGGGGTCAAAGGATATGTGAAAGAGGTAAATATAACTTGCTAAAAGTATGAAAAATTTTACAATATATCAATACAATTTAACTTGTTTCAATTCATAAATTATTGAAGAAAGATGAAAAAATCCAAAAAACTGGAACTTATTAATTAATAACTCTACAGTTCTTTCTAATTTATCCAGCATTTCCAACAAGAACTTCAATGTTGCCCATCTTCACCATTACCTTGGCAAACTTCTGTTGGAAACCTAGCAGAGTGGACACAAAGGTGGACGCAATGCCAGCACTCAATTTATCTAACGCAAGCTCTTGATCAATTTGAAGTACTCCTTTCTTAGCTGGGATCTGTTTGTAGAACTCGTTATCCATAACAAAAGATGTATTTTGATCCACAAATGCAGTCGGGTAGCTGTTCAGAGGCCTGAACTGGGTTCCACAAATTTTGAACAACTTGGATACTAGAGCAGAGTCCATGGTGGGATCAGGCTTTCCAGTTTCCTAGAAGTTGGAAAGACATGTTGAGTGCCTCATTAATTGGGAGGCAAATAGGTCAGCTCAAGAGAGTAGGCAATGGATTGTCTTACATCAAAGTCGGCTCAAGGTAGCTATAGGTAGGCTTGTGTAATAACCCAATTTTTAAATAAATAATAATAATTAATTAAATTAATAATCAGGGGCTTAATTGTGAAAATTAGAAATTTGGGAGCTTAATTTGGGAATATTAGAAGTTTGGGGGTTGATTTTGGTATTCTGGGAAGTATGGGATTTTATTGAAATTGTCAGGGACTGAATTGAAGAAAAACAAAATTTGAGGACTAGATTTAAAGAAAACAGAAATTTTGGTCCAAATCGGTGGCCGAAGCTTTTGACGCCGAATTCGCCGCGATGGTTGAAGTTTTCAATGATTTGTTCACACCGCCGCGTGTGTATTTAAGAGAGGAACGAAAGCCCTCTTTCAATTTCGGAATTCGGGTGAGTTTAGAGAGAGAAATTGAGTGTTTTCTACAAACGGGTTCGTCCGTGATTCGTGAGAAGATTTTGAAAAAAAGTTTGATGATTTATTAGTTTTTGATCCGATTATTGGGCGTAATTCGACTCGTTCTGCTCAGATCTACCAAATTCGGGTGTGAATTGATAAGGTAAGTGGGTTTTTCTATTTTATTTCGATTTTTTATAATTTATTTTGAATTTTCGGAAGTTACAGACCCGGTTAATCCGGGTGAGAAAGGGGTGGGACCCGGTGATCCGGGTCCCCCGCATGGGGTGCATGCCTGGTTCGGGCCACTGGGCCCGGACTGGCCTTTGGGCTAAGGCAACCCGCGGACTGGAGCTGCGGGCAGCCTTTATAAAAAAAAAAAAAAATGAAAACGTAATGTTGTTGCGGGCGACCGGCTCCAAGCCGAGCGGCTGAGCCGAGCCGGCCAAGCCGAGCTGGCTTAGTTAAAAAAAAAAAAAAAAAGAATAGTTGACTGAACCGGCCAGTGGCTTTGACCGGCCGGTTCAGTGGTCAAATGACCTCGAAATTGAGAAGTTGAACCGGTTCTGGAATCAGGGAGAAAAGACCTACTGAATCGAGTTGGTTCGGGGGTTCGGGGAGGTCCGGTTTGACCGGAAATTTAGTGTTTTGATTGAACCGGCCCGGTTCAAGGATAATTAATGATAAATTGGCCGGTTCAGCTTTATTTTGGCTCATTTTTTACCAGTTCATAGTGGTTCCTAAAGTTTTTGGGCCTTCTGAATCTGATTTTGAGGGTTTTGTGGCCAAACGAGTTTGGGATGAGGTAGTTTTAGGCCAGTTTAAGCCAGTTCAAGGGTTTTTAGTGATCGGTTTATTATGGTTCGGGATTTTAAGGGCTGGTTCACCATTGTTAAGGATTGTTAAGTGGAAATTGACTATATTAGTGAAACACGTGAGTCTCGTGATGGGTTTTGACACCTTGGGATGTGTGCCAAGGGTACCGGAATGGGATTTAAATTGGTTCGGGCTACTGAGCCCGTTTCTTGTGCTTATTTTAGTTTTAGTGATGGTTTTGTATGGTTTTGACTACAGATACGGCTGAGGAGATACACCTAGACCAGTGAGTCAGGTGAGGGTGACTCGGGACTTCTCTGTTGGCTTGATTCTTATACTGTGAGTTATGATACCTTCTCTATGCCTATGTTTTCATACGGTGATTTTGGCATGGCTGATTTATGTTTTCTAAACTGTATTTTGATGTATATACATATGAGATATGTGTTATGTGATTTGGTATATGGTCAGTGAGCTATATTGGTATGCGATATTGATTTGAGATTTTGAAATGTATATGTATGTATTATTCGAACTGTATGTGGGAGTTATGTTTGGTATTGTGATTTGGGGCCCTGGTGGGCGGCCCTGATGGGGGGCGATATGAACCCGATTAGGTGATGGCCATCTGATGTGATATTGATTATGGTTATGATGCTTATAATTGAGGCTGGAATATTGTGATATGATATTTATACTCTCACATATGTATGATTTGATATTGAACTGCTCACTATATTTATATGTGTTAAAAAGGGTTTTGAAACTTGTGGTATGATACATATCCCAACATGCATAGACTAGGTATCATCTATACTCGCTGAGTTTCGCGACTCATCCTTTTATTATCATTCCAGATCAGGTTGACTGTTCGTATTCCAGTTGTGAGGATTTTTCTTGAACTTCAGAATTCGATCGATGTACGGGCACATTTATTTATGTTACTGTTTTGTACTCTAGAGACTCCTTTGTTATTCTCAGACAGGATTCTGGTTTGTATTTGAAAATTGGGCTTGTATGATATACTTGATATTATTCATATGATATGATGGTTTGAATCATGTGAGATGGTCTTGAGGCTGACTAGGGTCGGTGGGCCCTAGTGCCGGTCACGGGCCCGGGATCAGGGTGTGACAAAGTGGTATCAGAGCTATAGATTTATTCTGAGAGTTACAAGGAGCGGGTTTCTTTGGTAGTGCTTTTATTATGAGGGTGAGGACCCCACTTTCATAATGGAAGGACTGCCGAAGACCTTTTAGGGTGTGTTTGGCTTCAGCCTTCTTAAATTCCTTTGTGTACCCGATTACTTTGACATCCTTTTAATTCTCGTATTTTGTGTATAGATGGGTTCGCCAGTTGATGTGCTTGTGACTTTGGGCGACATACCCGCTATGTCTAGAGAGGCTATCGCATCTGGAGATTCCACGAGTGAATCAGCCCCTCCTCCGATTGCTGGGAGGAGACGAGGGAGAGGACGTGGGAGGATGACTAGACCAGCCCGAGAGGCGTCTATAAGTCAGAATGTTACGATACCGACTGATGCATGGATTGGACTCATAGAGGAAGTCCGACAGCTACGCAGGGCAGTGACTGATATCGCTGGGGGTAGTACTGGCGGGGGACAACAACCAGCACCAGATAGAGGACAGCCAAGCATTACTGCCGCTCCGAGGGAAACAGTGCTAGCACAGCCAGCCCCAGTTAGTACACCGCTTGGTACTCCTACTGTCTCCGCCATGACAGCTCCAGTATCACAGCAAACGGGATTTGATGGATATTTCAGGGACTTTCTTAAGATGGATCCCCCTATTTTCACTGGATCTATGACACAGGAGGATCCGCATGAGTTTTTACATCAGTTGGATGAATTGTTTGAGATTCTACAGTGCTTCGAGGCGAGACGAGTACGGCTAACGGTTTTCCGTTTCAGATGAATGGCTCGAGCATGGTATGATAGAGTGATCGCACTAAGGCCAGCAGGTGCCGTTCCTTTGACGTGGGAGGTATTTCGCAAGATGTTCTTAGAGACATTTATGCCTAGCAGCAGACTGTCAGAGCTGACTTCAGAGTTTGAAAGGTTGGTGCAAGGACCCGGAATGTCAGTAGCGGAGTACGAGGAGCAGTTTACTCGACTTTCTCGGTATACTACTATTCATACTGCCGATGAAGTTTCACGAGCTACCAGGTTTATCGGTGGGTTGTCCTACTCTCTGTTTCGTGCCATGGGATCACAAATGGGCACAATTACTTATGACTGTGCAGTTGAGTGTGCACGACGCTTGGAGGCGAGAGGCGTATCGGAGCGTGTACATGGGGATTCAGCTAAGAAGACCAAGACGGAGGGTTCTTTCAGTGGCATTAATTCCAGGAGAGGGTCATCGTCTCGCAGACATCGGCGATTCGGGCATAGGGGCTCGTCTAGTAGGCAGTCAGTAGCAGGTAGTGTTACTGCAGCTAGCAGTCGTGGT